GTTTTGTCTGCCGCTCTCAGGCCTTGTTAAAGAGGCGCAAGCTGCCTGGGTTCGTCCTTTCGTCTGCATCCATCCACCGGGGGGGAATTCAACATGAAGGGTTTAGTCAGGCTCAAGGGACACCATTCAGCTGGGGACGCTTCGGGCGGCAGAAGAGCGTATTTCACTGGAGGCTTATCTCGCTCTGTCAGTCAGCTGGATAATGTCACTTGGTGGCAGTTTAATGGAAACAATGATAGTCGATGCTGGCGTGACGCGCGCTGCGGCTGTGAGCCCTGTTGGTATCATGTTCATATATTTGGGAATGTTGTGTACCTGCGTCTAGTGCCGATTGGCTTTCTTTAAACAGGCCCGATTTCATTTTTCTTCGGTTTTCCCTTTCCTGGCAAGTATAACAGATTTGTGTGCATATAATGGATCTGCAAAGGCTAAAATCCAAAGTTTCTCTCCCTCACACTCTGCCCCCCGCCCCCCATCTCCCCTGCCTGAAACGCCTCCATTGGATTCCTTTGTTTACTTCTGTAACATAGTGACATCATTGTTACACTTTATATTGGCTAGGGCACATTGTACGTGATAGGCTATGGGGACATCGCAAGCAGTTGGAAAATCACAACAGATTCAGTCAGCCAACCAATCAGAGCAGACTGGGCTCTGGTTTCAGACAGAGGGTGAAAAGAGGTGCTGCAGCACAGGAAGCATGAGAAAAATAAAGAGCTTTTTGAACATTAAAGCATGTAATTATATCACAGTAGAGGCACCACATACAAATATGAACCTGAAAAGGAGCTTAATAGGCCCCCTTTAAAACAAAGCCACGCCTGTGTTCTGCCGATGTTCATACAGCACGCAGACTGTCATATATCCTTCTTCAGTTTTCTGACGTATAGCAGAGCCTGAGTGTTTATTCTTAAGAGGGTTTTCTGCTTTCATTTCTCTGGATTTTTCTTTTGCTTGCGATACTCCTTAATCATTGTTTGATTATAGTCCTCTGAGGTTACCAAGGCAACAGTTTCATTGTGGCTGTTACAATCCGTCTCACTTATTACAGTTTAGCAATTATAATTGTGACATTATAATTAGATTTATCTCATACATACTCACAACTAGTATTGGAGACAATTCATCCGAACTGATTTTGAGTTGAACAAAGACCGTGACTTCAGTCCTTCCTCACAGAGAACTTCGGGAATCCTGACATTATTATAGGGTTGTTATTAAGGTTTTGTTTGAACAACACTGTCAGACGGGCATGGCGGGAAGTGACAAAATGAAAGTCTGGGAGCTCTGCCATGTGCAAGGTGGCCGAGGCCCAACCCATTAGGACACATACAGCCGGGGCTTCATATATTCAGCAGCTTCAGCCTCAGCCATAAAAACTGTAATGCCAAGGTCCAGACATTTTTAAATAAAGCATTCAAAAGCCTTTTGGACTGTAGGAAAATGAAAGTGTAAACATCTGGTGCAATTCAATCAAACAATCAATGTTTATTTATATAGCCCAATATCACAAATGTTACATTTGTCTCAGTGGACTTCACAGTTTGTACAAAATATCAGTATGACAATACGACACCCTCTGTCCTTAGACCCTCACATCGTACAAGGAAAAACTTCCGGAGAAAACCCACAGTTTAAAGAGAAAAATGGGAGAAACCTCAGGGAGAGCAACAGAGGAGAGATCCCTCTCCCAGGACGGACAGACGTGCAATAGATGCCGTGTAATACATTTGCAACATAGGTAGTCCAAATGTTTGGAAATGCTTGTGTGTATAATAGGAATATGAATCCACGAGGATATCCATCCAGGACCACAGCCACGACTCAAGATCCAGGGCTCGCGATGCAGGACACAGGACCGCAGAATCATCCATGACTCCGGATCCCAGCGTATATAGACACCAAAAAGAAAGACATGTGGGGAAGCTGGGTTAATCGGAACATGAGAGTACACAGGTATAGACAGAGAGAAGGAAGAAGTAAGATGTCCCCCGACAAACTAAGCCTATATCAGCAAAACTAGGGGCTGAATCTAATCAGCCCTAACTATAAGCTTTATCAAAAAGGAAGGTCTTAAGCGCACTCTTAAAAACGGATAGGGTGTCTGCCGCCCGAACACAAACTGGAAGCTGATTCCACAAATGTGGAGCTTGATAAGAAAAGGCTCTGGCTCCCATTGTACTTTAGAGACTCTAGGAACAACCAACAACCCTGCATTCTTGGAACGCAATGCCCTAGTAGGACAGTAGGGTATAATGAGTTCTTTAAGGTAAGATGGCGCCTGCCCATTAAGGGCTTTGTAGGCGTGAAGAAGAATTTAAAATTCTATCCTGTGTTCTATAGGGAGCCAGTGTAAGGCAGCCAGAACAGGAGTAATGTGGTCCCTTTTCCTAACTGGTTAGTACACGAGCTGCAGCATTTTGAATCAGCTGAAGCGACTTAACTGACTTGTTGGTACACCCTGATAATAAAGAGTTACAATAATCCAGCCTTGAAGTAACAAATGCATGGACTAGTTTCTCTGCATCGTTTTGAGGCAAGATATGCCTGATTTTTGCAATGTTACGTAGATGGAAGTAGGCGGTCCTTGAAATTGATTTTATGTGGGCATTAAAGGATAAATCCTGATAAAATATAACACCAAGATTCCTTACAGTCTCACTGGAGGCCAAATTAATGCCATCCATAGTTAGTATATCTTTAGATAATTTGTTTCGTAGATTCTTCGGACCAAGTACAATAACTTCAGTTTTGATCGTGTTTAACATCAAAAAGTGTAAGGTCATCCATGTTTTTAAGTCCTTAAGGCAGTCTTGAATTTTATTTAGATGATTAATTTCATCAGGCTTGATTGATAAATATAGTTGAGTATCATCCGCATAACAATGAACATTTACAGAATGATTCCTTATAATATTGCCTAACGGAAGCATATATAATGTGAACAAAATAGGTCCGAGCACTGAGCCCTGTGGCACTCCATGGCTAACTTTGGTTTGCGTGGAAGATTCATCATTGACACGTACAAACTGAGAGCGTTCAGATAGATAGGACCTAAACCAGTCTAAAGCAGTTCCCTGTATGCCAACTAAGTGCTCTAGTCTTTGCAATAAGATATCATGGTCGATAGTATCAAATGCAGCACTGAGATCGAGCAAACCAAGAATAGAGACAAGTCCCTTGTCAGAGGCTATTAGAATGTCATTTGTGACTTTAACCAGAGCTGTCTCTGTGCTATGATGTGTTCTAAGCCAGACTGAAAATCTTCAATTAAATCATTATTTTTAAGTAATCACACAACTGTTTTTGCGACCGCTTTCTCAAGAATTTTTGAGAGGAACGGAAGATTAGAAATAGGTCTATAATTGGCTCTAAAACCTCTGGATCGAGGTTGTGCTTTTTAAGAAGCGGTTTTATCACTGCTACTTTGAATGATTGTGGAACATAGCCTGATAATAAAGACATATTCATAATATTTAATAAAGAAGTGCTAATTAATGGAAAAACTTCCTTCAACAGCTTAGTTGGAATTGGGTCTAACATACACGTTGATGGTTTTAGAAGAGAGAATCATTGAATTTAATTGTTCAAGGTTTATGGCTGAAAAGCATTCTAGTTTACTATCTAGTGTAATATTAGAACTTATGTTTCCGGGAGCTGTTGATAACACTATACTGGTCAAAGGCAAGAGGTCATTAATTTTGTTTCTAAGAGTAACAATTTCTTCGTTAAAAAAGCACATCAAATCATTACTACTGAGTGCTATGGGAATAGAAGGCTCAATCAAATGATGGTACTGAAACAGGCAGAGGCACTGTTTGTCACCCAGCTGAATTACACTGTTGTTAGTGAACCTCACAGGGAACAGTGCCAAAGACGAGAAACACCAAAATGCAAACTGAAGTAACCACCGGTTCCCAAATCTGACAACGTCTTCAACTCCAGTGCCTTTTTTTACGAGTTAAGATTTACGTTCCCTTGCTGCTTCCTTCCCCTCATTGGCATTGTCCTGAAGAGGAGGGGTCACTGCGGATTTGTGCGGAGAGAAAACATATTTTTAAAGGGGATTTCAGTGAAATCAAGCCCTGCCTGCCGCCGACACAAGTTCCTTTTGATCACTCGTATGTTCTGACCTTATTGCTCTGCTCCCTGCGTGCCAACCTCATTATTATGCATTAGATTAACATAAAAAGAGCCTTTGTTCTGGAATTACTCATAATGAAGTGTTGTACGGAGGATTGTTTAATTGTCGGAGTAGGAGCTCATTGGAGCCATCCAAATAGTCTAATTCAATTTGTGCATATGTGTTTAAGGGGTGGGAGTTTGCTTGATTGTGCAGCAGCGCATGCAAAGTGCTAATGTGTCTGTGCTTATAATTAGCACAGACATGTAAAGGGCTGCAGAGACTTTTCTTCGGGGGCATCGGTGCTATGGATATCATTATTAGTTTGATGTTGGCTTCTTTTGTCTTCTGCAGCCCTAAAAATGATGTTCACATGGTTAGGATTTCACCATAAGCCTTAGTGTTAGTAGCTTTTGTCTTGTTTACTGTGTGTGTGTGTGTGTGTGTGTGTGTGTGTGTGTGTGTGTGTGTGTGTGTGTGTGTGTGTGTGTGTGTGTGTGTGTGTGTGTGTGTGTGTGTGTGTGTGTGGTGTGTGTGCGTGTGCGTGTGTGTGTGTGGCAGTAGTAAGCGCAGAGCCGCAGTGGGAGCCCATCCCCTGCTCCCTCCCTGAGACTCCTTACTCGTAGTGAGGTTGAGGAGCCGCAGCCCATCGCCACTCCTTTCCCGTGTACAATTGGAAGAGAGAGGCCACCTCCCTCCGCTGCCTCATTGGTATGCAGGCGGCGCAGTGTGTGTGTGTGTGTGTGTGTGTGTGTGTGTGTGTGTGTGTGGTGTGTGTGTGTGTGTGTGTGTGGTGTGTGTGTGTGTGTGTGGTGTGTGTGTGTGTGTGTGTGTGTGTGTGTGTGGAGGAGAGGGGAGAGAGAGAGAGAGAGAGAGAGGTAGCAGTCAGTGCAATGGGATAGAGGAGAGCGAGAGAAGGAGGAGAGTGAATGCTGGATCTGCCTCGCTTGCCTGTCGTCTGCTGAAGCTGGGTTGTACTGCCTGCTCCACACTGCACCGGCACACAGCAGAGTCACGGCCCGTTTGAATCACCGTCTGTTCTCTCAGCACCACCGTGGACCCCCACAGCACCCCCCAGCAAAAGGACAACCAGGGACAGAGCTCACCACGCTTTCTCCATCACCAAAAGGGGGACGCAGCAGATTTCACCAAGGAGCCTGACGCTACAATTTAGGCACTAGCTGCTAAACCTCAACCAAATCCCCCCTCCACCTTGTCCCATCCTTCCCAACACTCCTCTCTCACTCCTCCCTATGCCCTTGTCCTCGGCGGCTCCTCTCACCTCCCTGGCCAGTATATGGATAGAAGCTCCCTGTTTCAGCTCATACAAGAGCAGGTAAGCGAGTGAGAAGGCAGGCGGCAGAGGTTTCTATGGTTACGGGCTCCTGGCCACCTCGCCGTCTATCCAGGGATTGAGACGTGGAGGCTTTGGCTGGCGAGCCGATGTTAGGATTGATAGCAGGGGCTGTTTGCACGGGCAAAATGAGGGCGTGAGACAACACGACGGACGCAAGCATCATGGAGCCATGTGTGCCCAGAGAATGTGAGGTCAGATCATGAGCCACAGCAAAGGGGGGGGGGGGGCACATGTCGTGGTTTATGGCAGCTGCTATGTGCATGGATCTATCTGTCTGTGCCTGTGATTTTTCCTTGTCTTTCCTCTATGATTATCCCAACCCAAAATCTTATCATCTCAGCGTCACAAAAACCAGAGATCGCAAGATTATTTGGCTTTTTCATTTCCAAGGGTCGAGCTCTGAAACAGTTCCTGTGAAAGTCCAGTTGGCGGTTTTCTGTAAGAATAGAAGCTATTATTATTTGGCTTTAAACTTTTTTTCCTGCTTCTTCAGCCCTGCTCTGGAAAGCACCATGTTAGTGGCCATATGTTGGCTCGTGAAAAATGTTTGTCTTGACATCTGGTTTTCTCAGAGTCCTCCATCCAAACTGCTGTTTTGCTGTCCAGCCAGATCTATGTTTGAGTTGAGGTTTGGTCTACCATCTCCAAAATTAACAAGCCAAAATGGATTTGAAGGCAGAAAGCAATGTCTATAATCGGCTACTGCTCCCTAAAGACGTGTGTATCTCCAGCTGTTTTTCATGTCTTGCATTTAGCTCTAAGCTAACGTGTCTTGTGTTTCTGATGATGAACGGGGGTTTCTGCCTGATCGACAGATGCATTGGGCAATCATTCTGTCCAAGAGGGAGGAATCAATTATCAGCTGCAGGGGTTACAGGTCACGAGTGGCCCATCAGAAACACATTGATCAACTCACTCAAGAGCCTTGGAGAGATGTGTGTGTGTGTGTGTGTGTGTGTGTGTGTGTGTGTGTGTGTGTTCACCGTCGCATTTTTATGAATGTGTGTTTTCATAAAAAGTCGAGGAAGCCTGTGTGGGTTGAGTGAGAAGATGCTCTGTGGTCACACTAGTGAGTCAGTCATGTACTGTAAAAGCACTTCAGTGATAACAACCACCTAGTATTACCTCAACAACACATATTCTTCCACAGACACATTTCATGCGGTATCAAAGAGGCTGACTCATCTGTGTTAATATCGTTTTCCATGTAGCAGGTCATTGGGCTGCGGTGGAAGCCAATACACTTCCACACTGTAAACAGTGTTTTATTGATTGTGGGGTTTTACTCTTGCTTGCGCCAGTATGTTCATATAGACAGTTTGCAAAGGCCTCAGTTGAGCAGGCTGCAGTCCTATTAAGCTCAAGTCTAGACCAAATCACTCACTCTGGCTGACGGCAGGCTTTTCCTGCCTTTGGGACTCCATGCAGTGGACTTTGATTTAGAAAAGGTCTCTCTAATTAAACTAGAAAGAAGTGAAAATCTGCAGCCAACAGCTTTTGGACTGGAGACAGGCACGCTTGTATTTAGGAAAAACATGCTGCCCGTATAAACATTGGGTACATTTTTTATCCAGGAAAATGTTTTGCTGAGCATGGCTATCTTTTTTTAAGCTCTGGCCACCATATTTAATCATCACACTTACTGGATGTTTCCCTCAACCACTGCAGTGTCCCACCGGCCTCTAAGCACATCCACAAGAACACCTGGAGGTCAAGTGCTTTGCTTGAGGGCATCCCAAGTGCTGCCATTTGGAAAGGACAAGGATTACTCTGTCTCTACGTTGTTGTTTTTATAGTCTAGGGTTTTTAACCTGCATTACACCTTCTCTATAAACATGTTGATTTGAGCTACCACTGGCCAGCTTCAGTCAAACACAATAATGGCACTTAACTTCCATGCTCTAAGGGTTTTTTAGAATTATTACTATATTACTCGGTTTTGCACTGGAAGAAAACTGGGCATTTTTTGTTTATATGAGTGCTGCAGGTGTAACACCCCCCTATATCACAGCCGTGTCACAAAGAACCACATGGAAATGCTGCAGAGGGAGAGAAGAAGAAAGCAACAGTGGCAACAGGATTGAGTTTTTTATTAGTCTTTGTCTGCAGGAGGTTGCCATGCTGAGCTCAGGTTATTTCTGGCCTATGCAGGCTCACACATGATCAGAGCACTCTCTCTGATAGTCTTGCAGCACCACTGATAGGGCAACTTGATGGTCGGCACCACTAAAATGCTATCAGGGAATTTCTTCCTCTGTCATTCAGTTCTTATCTGGCTTATTTATATCCCTCCTCCCACAAGGACTTCTGGGGTTCTGAATACTATTTTGACATATGTATGTCAAGTTTTGAGAATAAGGCTCTCACACACTGTCTCCTTTGATCATTCTCTGATGCTGATTTGCATTGAGCTGTATTTGAAAATGCCTCAGGCTGTTTGTAATGTGTTTAAACGCCAGGAAATGTAGTCAGATGATTGTTTGCATCAAGGAAAATCCCCTGGGTGTCTCTCCACTTGAGGAGAAGGGAGTTTTGATCGTATAGCTTTCACATCGCAGTGGAAACATTTGAGTGTAATGAACGGCACAGCAAATCGCACATTGTTATAATTACAGAGTCAGTGGCCCAGTTGTTGCTGAACACCAGTGAGTCCTGAGGGCAGCAGAAACAATCAAAAGGGTTTATCTGATGCCATGCAAATATGTTCTGGCTACCCTGTAAATGCACCACTGCAGATACAGCAGCCCTGTTAGGCACGACAGTCTGGTTCATTGAGACCAAAGAAGTCTGTAGTTTTGGTTCTGTGACATTGGGTTAGTCAGTGGGAACCCGACCGGTGCTGGTTCTTATTTCTAACCTTATGGAAGTTATATCATCATCATCTCCCAAAGAGTAGATACTGTTCATTCAACAACTATCAACCTTTTCATGCTTTACCCGAACCCTTTGACTGAAAATGTTTCATTTATTGTGTGACCTGAGTTGAGTTATGGCTTCAGTTTACACATTTTCAGTGAATCCTTTGTAGTGTATTTATATTCTGTACCGGTTTGTTGGGATTAAATGCCCTTCAGTTGATTTGCCCATTTGTTTAGACCAAAATACTTCAATTAAGATATAGTGAGGTGGGAATCAATTTGGGAATACGGGTGCCTAAAGTCAGCTAGAGCCCTATTCAGATTGTTTAAGGTTACCTCTTAATTCGTCTTTTCAGTGAAAAATACAATTAAAGAAATAAATTCACAGAAAAGAAAGAAAGAAAGAAAAATTCTTCATATTTTTTTGTTTTTTCGTCTTTCAGAAGCTGGAAATCATGAAATGTTGGCATTTTTTTCTTTTCTTCTACTACACAAAGAAGTTTTTTGCAAATATATTTTGTGCTGATTGACTAATTGATCAGTTATCTACGTTTGATATCCAATAAGATTACCTGTACCAGAGAAAAAGCTGAAAGAGCTTCAGAAATCCATCATGTTTTGGTTGAATTTAGGTATTTGCATGCATAGTGTAACCATAGGGATTATTTTTCAACTTTCTGCCTCCTATGATATGACCTCATTATTAGCTACAACTCTGTGTGTACCATTCAGTTGTTGTCATATCAACCTAATGCAGATAACACAATAGAAATGCAAGTAAGTCTATCATTTCTGTGTTTTGTGGTTTGTTCCCGGGCTGGAGGGTTTCCTCTTGAGCCCCCCTGAAGCAAACTGATAAGTCAGTACTGTGCTTGGGTCAGTTAAGTCTCAGCGGTGGAGGTAATGGAGGTCCCGGGGGTTAATTCTGAGATCATTTACCTGCAGTCAGCATCTCACTTCTCTTCCTCCCCCTCCTCGTGCTGGTGCATACATTTTCCTCCCATGTGTCTCCTCCCACTTGCTCTTGAGCCAGCCAAGTTTGGTGTCTTAACACCTCCACCCATAATCTCCCGCCCCGCCTCCCTTCACATTTAAACCCCTTCCTTCCCCCTCTTACTACCCCATTTTTCTCTCATTGGTCTCTTCCTATCCATCTGTATTTTATTTTTCCTTTCCGCTCCGTACCCTCCGTTTCTGTCTCTCTCCCCTCTTTCGTGTCTTTCATTTGCCTCTTGAACACCAATATGTCGGGGGGGGGGGGGGGAGAAAAGGAGGGGGAATGCAAGAAAGGGAGGACACACAGGCGGCTGGTAACCAAGGCAACGCATGCAGCTTGTCAAAGTGTCGCCCGCACCAGTGTTGGATCGCTTCAATAACTGCTTCCTTCTCGGTGCAAATTCCCTCCTTTTCCAACCCTTTCTTCTCTCTGTCTCACCCCCTAGTTCAGGCACGTCACCAGCCTGCACACACACACTCACACACAAAACCTCCTCTTGCCAACACTCATTCATCTCAGTGTACCTCATCTCGCTAATTGATAACCCTAATTGGCTACAAGAACCAATCCTCCACCTCCTTGTATCCTCTGCAGACGGTGTGTAACGTTCTTCCTGAATAAGGTCAGACATGTGACAGGGAATATTTTCCGTGCAGTGTGACAGCTCAGCGTCAACACTTGCTTTTGCGTACATTTGCACGCCATATACAGTGTCTGGGTCTGAGCTGCTGCTGTATGTGTAGTGATGTGCTGACATATGGAGGCTGACAGTAATCAGACGTCCCCAGCGTGGCTCTCTGTTCCCCCTGTCATCCCGCACTGAGCCAGGAGCACATTACAATCTGATCTATCTGTGGCGAGTGAATGCAGAGCACCGGAGTGTGTCACAGCCCTCTTATAGGCAAGAGAAGAATAGCCAGACTGCTGGGTTAGGCGGGAGAGTATCAGACTTATGCGAGGTGCTTTTATTCTCCCTGCGTCCTTGTTTCATTTCTGGCTGCCTCTCTTCTTCTCCTCAATTTCTTGAGTTTCTTTAACTTGTCATTTTTCATTTCTTTCATTTCATCAACCGCCCAACCACCCACGCTCCTCTCCCATTTTCCACCTCTACCCTCTCTGTTGTCTTTTTGTTGTGCTTTCCTTCCATATCATCACAAATGCTGGCTATATCTGCACCATTTTGCTCAGCCAGCCTTAAGGGGAGAACTTGGCCATGTTTTAACAAACGTCCATGGAACACACAGTTAAGGGGATTATCTAAAAATAAACCTGAGGCCATTTTCTTTCCCATCTTGGTTAATTTGTTCCCAACAAATGTCATTGTTCGTGCGTTGCAGACGGCCTTGACACGGCTGGCTTAGGAGCCGATGGTTGAGATTATACGGAAATGGGTGAGGGACAATGACGAAGATGGAGGTTTTCAAGAATTGTGTGGAATAAAACAATGTAAATGACATGGAGAGTATAATCAGTAAATCCTCGAGAAACACCAATGGTTGTCTGTACAGAATCTTGGTTAAAAAAAAAAATGTATGCTACTGAGTCACATTGGTGTACATAAAATATTCCTAAAGTATCATAACCTACAACATTTCTTTACTACATAAACTGAAGTGGGGAAAACACTTATTTGAGTCAGGCATCATAACACTAGCTACTTCCTGCCCCTACTTTGCCCAGATAAATCAAAACATCCATTTTCAGGAAGCTAAAATAATTGAAAGGGCTGCTTTTATTCTACTTAATGGCTTTAAGAACTGGAAACAGTGTAGAGGGAAGCAGAGCTCATACAGTGAACATGTTCAGATGGAAATACACACACACACATTTGCACCAATGGATTCCCAGATTGATCCCCGGCTCCTTAGCTGAGCAGCCGAGTCTTAACTCTGAGCCTCCTGCAGTAGGGACTGACACGGCGCAGCGTAGCTTAATGCCGCTCTCCTCATGCAGCCGATGAAACGCCTTTGTCTTACCATGTCAGAGCAGGCCAGACAGGATTCTTCTCATGGACTCATGACATGGGCAACGATGATCCAGCCCGTCTGACTCCACACTGATGCAACATCTGAAAATTCCTGCCTCCCAGGGGCAACAAGAGGCTGTTGGTTTACTATCTGAAACCTAATGAGGCTGTGTTAGCATTCAGGAGACAGTCAAATCAGAAGCAGCAAGGGCCCTTCACATGTGGTCTCTTTGTACTGCTCCAGTTTGTCCTCGGGCGCATTTTCACAAACACAATCAGATGTACTAAGGAGAGCTGGCATGAGGAATTAACGCTCCATTGCAGAGCGATTGGGTTTATTTGAGAGGAGGTGAGGGAAGAAAATCAAGTAGTAAGTAGCTGAAGCTGCCGCCCCCCAAAAAAACCCACTTTGCAATAACCAAGATAGACACCCCTATACTTTACAAGCCATTTTTGAACTGGGGCTATTTTCGACAACTGCACTCAGCCATTTTACGACACTCTGCCGCTTAAATCAATTACGACGAGCAGCACTGGCGTAGAGACATCAGCAGTAATAACCCATGAGGCTGTGGGTCTCTGAGAGTGGTGGTTAAAGAAAAAAAACTAGCTGCAAATGAGACCAAGGTCGGACTCACACTGTCAAATGAAGCATCCAGAGAAACAAAGTCTGAAAAGTCAACCTCATTTAAAGCTGCAGAGGGTTTTTTTTGTCTTCAGGGAAAATGCAGATCAATGCGTATTAGAATGACATGCCCGCCTGTCTTCGCTCGCTGCTTCCAACGTCAACAACCTTCTGCTCCTTTAATGAGGTTGAATTGGGCTTTTTCTTTAGGCAGGTCTAATTCTCTCTTCATAGAGGCAACACAGCTTCATTAATATTGGTGTCACTGCCTGAGTTTATGCCTTCAACCCTCTCATTTGTCTTTATGTGTATAGTTGTGTTGCTGTGTGTGTCTATTCTGCCTCAGGGCAATCTCAGTCTTTATCACTGCAGTGCTGCGTATCATTAAAGAACCATGAAGCATAACAGGAATAACAACTTCAGTACATGTGTTATCAGAAATGTAGTTTTATATGAATTGTTGCAATCTAGATACAGGGTCCTACCATTTAATAAGGTATGACTGAAACTCTTGTGCACCAGTCAATACGATAAAAATAAATAATGAGTTAAATCCCAGATCAATTGTTAAAGTTATGCTCATTTTCAATTTCGGATTTGTATTTGTGCGACATGTCTACATGAAAATATTCTCTGCATGGATTGTAATGTTATGATAAATGTCTGATTCCTTGTTTTTTGTCTTAACACTTGACTGCAAAGTACTGCATTTTTACATAGTATCATATCCCAATGTTCTAAGAGTGGGCTCTCTTTGATTTTTCCAGCTGGACCCAGACAACACCGGTTTCATCGCAGTGGAGAACTTCACCAGCTTGGTGGAGCACCATGAGCTGCAGCTGGACCCGTCCAAACTGGACATGCTGTTAGCGCTGGTCCAGAGCAATGAGGAGGGGCAGGTGTGCTACCAGGAGCTCATCGAGCTGGTGAGTGGAGACCTCACACAGATCTGGAGACAGATAGCGATGCAGGGGGAGTCGCTGGAGGCATTCCATGTCCCGCAGCACACACCCATATTTCCCCACTTTCCGAAAGGTTACAGAATTGATTCAGGCAGAGCCGGCAAGCTCTGCAGTGGCGAAAATTGACTCAGGTTGCTGTCCTGCAAAAGAGGGATCAATCTGTCCGGTTAATGTGTCGGTAAATCCAGGCACTTAACCTCACAAGCCGTGCACAGCAAGTACTAGAAAACACCGAGCTGGAAGGACCACAGTATTAAAGCAATACATTTTCTTGATGTGATTGAACATGTCGTTTTTTGAATATACTGAGGTTAAAACAGCCTGCATGTGTACTTCTTTATTTGCCAAAAGTTGTAGTCCTTTGCCTCTGCTTTGAATCAGCAAGGCTCTTTATTCTCTGCCTCCTTTTTGTCTTCATTCATCCTTCTCCTTTATGTGTTACCAATTCTTAAATAGAAACTCTCTGTATATGCTGATTCTCTACATGCACATTGCTTGTGGCACAGTTTGTGTAAGTAAGCTAAGTGTCAGCATCAAGGTTAGATCAATTCAATTCCTGCATATTTGCACTTCCTTCAGATCATTCCACCTCCTTTGCTTTCAGTTTTTTTCTATTGGTCTTTTTCATCTTTCTCCCTTTCGTGTTGTGCTACTCGTGGTTTGAAATAACATGAGGCCACTCGTAGCAGGTCATGTTTCTGAAGTCTGTGCCACTAGAAAGGAATTTGTTTTGGTTTGCTTCGTCAGTACAGCTATGTTCCTCCACCATTCTTAAAGCATTTTCTTTTCTCCATCTCATTTCAGTGCCTGCTCATCTTCATCCCTCCCTTCCTCACGCAAATGTAATAACCCACCCTACTCTTTTTTCTAACCTGCCTTTTTGAACCATCTCATCCCATTTCCCTCTTTCATTCTACAGTCGTGAGCATATGTTAGGTGGAAGAAAAAAAAATGCGTCGCCTCCAAAAGCATCAGGGAGACACTTTTAAAATTGCCCATCAGCCAAATGCAAATTGCCTTCGATTAGCCCAGCATTGGTAGTAGCAGGAAGTAATCTGAGGTAATTTGAGAACGCCCAGACTCACACAGCTATCGACCCTCAGGTCTGATTTTAAAGATTCGTCTGATACACACGTGAACCCACATATCCACATGCTTCCTATTGGCATATATTCAAACGCTTTCAATCATTTGATTAATAATTAAAGCAGCTGCACACCTCCGCTCTGTCTGTCTCACTTCTCCTCTCTCCAAGGCTCTTATTCTAACACATGAGCGCTGCCAGTATGGATTTGCTGACTAATTTAGAGGATATTCAAATGTTGATGTGACTCTGGTCCTCCCGTCTCGCAGCATGTGGTGCGTGAACTCAGCAGGTTGTCTAGCATGAGCCCCAGGCTGCAGCTGGGAAAGTGGCACATGTAGCAAGACATTTTCAACCAGGTCATCAACGAGTAACCCCGGCCTTTTTTCTCTCCTCCCTTCTTTTCTTCCTTCTTCTCTTTTACTTTTATTATTTGTACCTCTCAAGCCCACGTTGGCTGTTTTTGTCCGTGTCTTCTTCCCTCCATCTGCATTCACAATTCAGTATCTCATTCAGATTTATGAGAAGCCCTCCGCAGTGTGTGACAGATGACAGGCGTGTTTTGATTTGGAAAGTTCAATGCTGCCATTATATCAGTCAGTGCCTGAAGTGCGGCGTCTGTATTGATTTGTGGTCCGGCCTCGATGGAAATAGGAGCTCCCCTGTGCCGTTTAAAATGGACACGGCAAGAATGCGTGTGCATGCTCAGTCTATGCCTTTTTGATGCAATTAAAAGATACTTCAAACCTTGGAATAACTCATTCATTAGTATCTGATGGACATTGTTAAGTGCAGCAAGAAATGAAGACCAAAAATTACAACCTGTAAGCATCAATAGCAAAAACAAATATGTAACGCCTCTTAACCATGTCAGAACAACAGAAGAAAAAGATCATTTGTGTAATTTCTTTCTAAAATGGACTTGGCAAGAATGTGTGTGTGTGTGTGTGTGTGTGTGTGTGTGTGTGTGTGTGTGTGTGTGTGTGTGTGTGTGTGTGTGTGTGTGTGTGTGTGTGTGTGTGTGTGTGTGTGTGTGTGTGTGTGTGCTCAGTCAATGCCTTGCTGGTGTTTCAGCCAACAAGCTCTCTTTTGTGTTTCTTAACGTGTGTATTCAACATTTTTTCTGATTTGTTGTTCTACATTCATTCAGCTTGAATCCACGCTGACCTCGGTGGGTGTTAATGTGTTTGTATCGCACCATTTGGCAACAGCTTCTCTGTTTTGTGTGTGTGTGTGTGTGTGTGTGTGTGTGTGTATCTTTCATGCAGGGCAATCTCAGCCAGAGAACTCCATCAGTTCTGCCAGAAGGGTGAATAAGTAAAGCTCTGCTAAAACCTCTCTTGGGAAACTGTACACAAACACAAAGAGTTTGTATCTGACTACTAATCCTGCACAACATCCCACATAGCAACAGAAACGCAGGCAGTGATACGTTAATGCACAACTACACTCTGATTTTTCTGATGCAGGAGGCTGAAAGACACAGGTGGCAAAGTTCACACATGGTGGGATTGAAGGGGGAGGGCTTTGATATACGAGCATCTGTTAGTGACGTTAAGGTAACCTGAAGATATATTCCTGCAAGTATCGATTCCTACGATCATGTAGCAGCTGTGTAACTGAAGAAGTGTGTCTTTGTTTTCCTTCGGGGGGTAATTTGGCTAATGTTCGACTCTGATCCAAAATGGCTGCCATGGTTAATTACACGGGTAGAGGGTGTATTTTAGAGATTATGGTGGGGGATTATCTTTGTTCAGGTTGGAGGATTTGAAGACTGTTGCTTTGTGCTTCATTTTTACCTTACTGCCTAAATGCTGCTCTTCCATTTCCTGTTCCTTCAGGAGATTAAGTTGGATAATATGTTCTAAAATGTTCCGCTTGCCACTGAATGAGTCTGGTCACATGTCAAGCAGTATTTATAGACGGAGAGCACTTCCAGAAAGCAGAAGTTCACTTACAGTCCCAGGCAAGAAACACTCTGTCGTTGATATACAGTGTTTTCAAGTCATTTAAAGTCACATTAAGTGCCCAGAGTGCATCAGTCTCCAGGGAAACAGATGCTACCATACCTACACATCCCACACCAAACCCCTGTCAAGGCTTTCTTTTAGATGGATTGCCTGATAAAAAATGATGCACTTTGCTAAAGTGTCATGGACAAAAGGTTTGTGGGGGGTTTTTTACCGCTAGAGTTTTAGCACCACAATGATTAAACCATGAAGAAAGGCCGTGGCCGCAAACTGCTGAGGGGAAAAAAAAGTTGGGTTTTATTTTAAAAGGATTTGGGCAAGAAAGAACGTGAGTATCTGGGTCAGGGTAGGCACAGTGATGCACAGTGATTTCGATTCTGCTGAGGAAGTGTGTATGTGTCAGAGAGAGAGGAAGGTAGAGGGGGATTTGGTCATCTCAATGACTCAGAAATGAGATAGTAAACGGCGGTAGTGACACTGTTAGTCAGCTGGCGGTGAATCACTTAGCTCGGTGAATAACGGTACATTATTTATCATGTGTGTCAAGGCATGTGAGTGAAAGATGGATGGTTGCCTCCATAAACTGAGCAATATCAGAATCATTTATGGATTTTATTTGTGTCTTCCATGCATACGCAGGATTGGCCTTTGAAGCAGGTTTTCTTTTTTTAAATATATAATTATTACTAATGAGTATTGAGCTTTAGGTATTGACCATGTGGTGTGGCTAATTAATCCATCAAGGACAATTGACTGGAACTGAGAGCAGCACTTACTGTAGGCAGGACACCAAGAGGAGGAGGATGGACTCTTGTTGTTTGACACACACACACTTCTGTCAGTTTGGCCCATTCAGCCGCCCCTAAACGGGAATACTATCTTTATTCCCATGCTCTTAGCCTCAGCATCAATTATTCCCTGGCAGATGTTGCCTTGTCAGGAAACTTCCACCGTTACCGAAGCACAAGTCAGAGGTTTTACTCCCTTTTTTTGTGGTGACATGCACCTTGCTCTCCGTCACTCATCTCATGTTTCCGCTGCTCATGTGCCTTATTGTCTGTTCGCCCGTCTCTCTCCTGTCGTTGCTTCAAAAGGCGGCTAATGCTCTCTTTAGAGGCGCCGGTCCTGCATGTCAGAGTGAAAGCTATGCTTAGCCGCGTCTCCTGGGAACATGTTTCCACAGAGGTGCTATGAAAGGGAGAGAATGCAGCGCGAGGTGGAGAGGAAGCAGGTGCTGTTACCGAGCCAAAAGCAGATGAAATAAGACTCAGAAACACAGACTCTAAGATGAAAGCCAACAGAGGAAGGCAACACAATTATATTTACCTTCGCTTCCTCTTTCTCACTGTGGATTCAACCATATGAAGATATTTAGAAATGAGAGGCGATGTCTCCGGTGACATGCAGAATCAGAGATTGGAGCTCACACATGCAGGAATCTCTCCGTCTTAATTCGCCCCTCTCCACTCTAATGTCCCTCTGCTCCTCTTCTTCTCCTTTCACTCACTGCCTCAAGTATAGTATAATTGCATTTTCCAGGCCTGATTTCCATACTAAATATGCATCCCTCCATCTGTGGGAGAGCCAGCAGCCCAGCTCCACATCGTTCTGGTTATCACGCAGCAACAGGCCCTCACACTCTCACTGAACAACCACCAGCATTATTACCCACAGTTAGGGCAGTTACCACTTCCTGTTTCCAAAAGGGATTAGCTCTCTTTTTTTCTGCTGTTTTTCCTAAGCGATTTCTTGAAGGGGGGGGGGGGGGGGGGGGGGGAATAAAACGGCAGCTCTAATTGTGTTGCAATCTGTTTCTACTTCTTCATTATTTGCGTGATTATTTAGTCTTTTTTCACCAGTACATTTAGCTCATTAGCCTTTATAGATATTGACCCGTAATGCATTTCAATATGCCCCCTGCTGTGTCTTCATATAATGAGTCTACAAGCAGCGGCACCCGACTAATGAGTCCAGAGGAGTGAACTTTAATGGCCGCTTGTACTTGCTGCAGGTCCCCTCTGGAGGTTTTATTACATTTCATATGAAGCTGCTATATTCTCTGAGGTTGTTATTATTAGAAACCTAAACAAAACGTCTGCTGTTGAAGATTCATTCGGTTAAAAACTGCATCTGTTGACCATACGTATCCTGCTTCACTGCTTTTTTCTGCTAACTTATCTTCATAACATGTCTCTCCTTGGGCTTGAGCAATACATCATTATAATATGAATATCGTAATAAGACATTACATATATTTAGATTTGGGATATTGTGGTATCCTAGATGTTTACTTCTTCTCGTCTTAAAGGCTGCATTACAATAAAAGTATGAGCTGTTCTGTTATTTGCTTTTACCTGCTTAGTCATAAATCCACATTACTACTGATTATTTATCAAAATTCTGTATTAATAGTTTGAAAAAGCATCACAGGTCAAACATCCAATACCGTCACATTAACACCATCTACTGATTATATATTGTGATTTATGATTTTCTTCGTATCCCAGAGCCCTTGTCACTTCACATAATAACACATTTTGATTTAGAGATAATTGCATAGTTAGCAGCTTAGCCACAGAGGAGCTTAATTGCTTTCGCTACACAGAGACTTCAGGCGTCAAGCATTGCATTTCAGCTCTTAAAGGGGACATATCAATCAATCAATGTTTATTTATATAGCCCAATATCACAAATGCTACATTTGTCTGAGTGGACTTCACAGTTTGTACAGAATATCAGTATGACAATACGACACCCTCTGTCCTTAGACCCTCACATCGTACAAGGAAAAACTTCCGGAGAAAACCCACAGTATTATGCTCATTGTCAGGTTCATATTTATATTTTGTGCCTACTGTGACAAACTCTCTCTTGAGGGAACTTTGTGATTTTAGCCTTTGCAGACCATTTACATGCATTAAACAAACCTATCAGACTACAGGCTAAATGAAAAACCCCAAAAAGCATAACAGTAAAGTTACCAGTGAAGCATGCACGCTTGTCTTGTATAAGGGAATGCAGGCATTAGCTCCAAAGAATCCCTGCTGTGGGTGAATGGTCAGACAGTATTTATACTAGTAACACATGCGGAAAGTGCCCTCTGTGTTGTTACCCCGGCAGTTCTCTGCACCGACTGTCAAAATAGTTGCTTTAGGGTAGTTTTCATTCTATAACTCTATTAAAGAGTATCAGGAGTGGAGAGGGCCCCACTGGCCTGCAGGCTGCAGAGCTGCTGCTCACCAAGCAGACCTGGAGTCAGTGATAACATGAATACACACACACACACACACACACACACACACACACACACACCACAAACCAAAGACCACTTATATGTTATGTTTTTCTATCGGCCCTGAATATTCAGCTGCAGTTATGTCACCTCTCATGTGGAGAAAGTGTTCACCACTTGTTTATACAAGTAACATGGCTTTGATTTTAATATTCTAATAGCTACTGGGAAATATGAGGAATCAGACATTTTACTTCTAGCACTAATTTGATAGATTTATTAAGTACAACGTTTTTATCGACTACCGTCTGTCTTAATTATTGTGAAACCCGCAGTGGAAGATTTTTACTGTAATTAGTTTTAATGCGACAGTACAGTATAATGCTTTCAAAACTAGCGTATCTTTTAGCTCTGTACTAATGGAGCAATTTTACGATGTGGATTAATCACTTTGTCTGAAAAACAGTTCTCAGCTATATCTTCTTCTTCTTTCTGTTCTGAATAAGCGATTTTCATTATTCAATATGCACAAAAAGCGAAATAAATGGATGCCAGAAACATTAAGGTCAAATTAATTAATCCATTGAATGCGGTGCAAGAAGTACAACCATTACCATTAATATAAGTACACTTTCGTTCCCCTAACTTTTTAAAGCAGAAGTTACATTACCCGTCTTATTTTCCCACAAGAAATCCGTACTTTATGAACGTTCACTCGCCATCTCGGATGATTAGTCACACGGATGAGCATTCCTCATTTTTATAAAAAACAAGATATCCTCCTTTACTGATGTTTGATCCACTAATTACAAGGAACGTTTTATATTTGATTGCTAAAATGAAAGATTCTACATCAGGCAATGATGAGATCTGTTCATCTTGGCGAGGTGTCTGTCCTCCAGCTGCTGACAGTAATGCTCATATAACAACTCAAGACAAGTTTATTGAATACAAATACATTGAGTCTTCCAGTAGCACCAAAACAAACACAGGGACTCAGCTGTGTTTGGATTTCTAAGTCACAAAAAACAAGTCTGTCATCTAAAAAAAAGAAATGTTGTCTATTGTTGAAGATGTTTTGGGAATACGCTGCATTTTCCTCTCTTTCTAAAAGATGGCTGAGAAGATTTTTACAACCCTTGTATCTTTATATGTGCATTTAGTTTAGCTTAGCTTTCCATAATGACAGGAGAACAGCATGGCTGTGTGCAAAGGTACACAATCCCCCTATGTACTACCACATCTTAAGCTCACTAATTAACACATTAGATCTCATTTGTTAAATCTGTACGGAAATTGAAGCTTAATTGCAACAATTTGTGGTGTAACAGAGGATTATCTGCCAATTATGCAAGTATTTCTTCTCCTAGAAGTGCCTGCCAACCTTGATCACAAAACTCATGGTGGTGTTAAGGAATCAGGAAGTAAAACTATATGTATGTGTTAGTTAGCTAAAGTGTATGGATGATTTTAGGCAGATTTATTACCTTTGGTTAGCTGATTACCCCTGGTTTGTACTTTTGATGTTAATTTAAGTTAAGAGATAGCTTTATATTTAGCATACAGACATGAAAGTAACATCACATTTCTCATTTAACTCTCAGCAACTAAGCGCATTTCCTTAAATGTGAAACTATTTCTTTAATTACAATGAAAATGTGTTGTGTTTCCATCGGTCTAATATGGAAAACAAGTTAATCATTCCTCTGCGTTCCTTAAAACTTCAAGCAGTTGCTCACCAGATATTGCTCTGAGTAATACATGTTTCTTCATCTTTCCATCAGATGAGCAGTAAGCGCTCCAGCAGTTTCCGACGGGCCATAGCTAATGGCCGCCGCACGCTGCAGAGGGAGATCCTGCTGGACGAGACGGGGCTGGGTCTGTACAAACGCTTCGTCCGCTATGTGGCATACGAGATCCTGCCCTGCGAGACGGACCGGCGCTGGTACTTCCACCAGAACCGCCTGTGTCCCCCGCCGGTCTTCATCGCCATCGTCACCATCGTACAGGTGAGATTCAGGACTTAGATTGTAAGTAAATCTTCATCCTGCAGCAATCTTCATCCTGCAAAAAGAGCCATACGAATTAGACATATAACTTACCTACATCGAACCAACAAATCGATTATTTATCAAACTAAAAACACTGAACTCACAAGACCTGGTTGACTATAAAACTATCCAAATTATGTTCATAGCCGTAAATCAACCATTACCTCATAATGTCGAGGGACTTTTCACACGGAGAGAAAACGTACACATGTTGAGAGGAAACTGCATTTTCAAAAAACCACCCATTCGAACAAATTCCAAATGTCATTGCATCTGTGGAATGACTGTAATGATGAGCTGAAATACTGTGCAACTTTATCTAAACTAAAACTATTATTTAGAAACCAAATCCTGCACGGTTATGAGCAGGACCTGTGAAGTGATGCTTGCTATTTCTTGTCGTTGTAAAAGTTATTTGGTTGTTTTGTACAAAGAAATGATTTGTTTAAAACAAATATCATAGATGCTGATGACGATGACCTACACTTTTATTTTCGTGAACAATGTACGCTAGAGGGGGACCAGAAACGTTTTTAAGCTTCTTCTTGCCCCTTTTGAACATGACGGAAACTATTTGAGAATTTATTGGAACGTGTTTTGATTTTTCACGTTTTTTTTGTTTCTAACATGTTCAATAAATTGACTAATAAATACAAAATAAGACAATAAACTGAACTGTTCTACCGATTCAAATATTCCTCTAACATGTGCTGCAAAATGTTACTTGAGCATGTGCTACTAACCCACAACCCTGGATTTAGTCTGTTCTCTTGGCTTAGTCGTTCGCTTCAGACCCGCTGAGGAGATTTCCTGCCTTTGATCACACGCTTTTACTGCGAGCTCGATATGAGCTGGTAACACATTTGGGAGTCAGAGGCTTAGTGGGTGCATTTAATGCCCTTCCTCCAAGCTGAAACCCTCTCTCTGCTTGCATGGGGGGAATTCTTCAGTCACTAATTTACAAACTTTTAAAAACCAGGTCGGTAAGCACCCTGCCCACCACAGCGGCAATAAATGACCTATTATATTCATTTGGAGACAACCTCCAACACAGAAGCCCTCACGGACCTCTGTTAAATGGTCGAGGATTACGTCGCTAAAATAACCTAACTTCCTCATTCCCCCTGAAATCATCCTAATTCAGAGGAAAGAAAGCCAAGTGCTCTTACAGTGCCTCTGAATGGTCTGTAATGACAATGACAATGTGATAATAACGGTTCACATTCATTTAATTCACAGAGACAATGATTCATTATTCTATGAAAAGAAATGAATGGAATTGAACCAGATGTGCCATATTTTTCATTCCGCCGGCGGTATTTGTCTGCTCAAGTCTAATCAGCCGAGGAATACAGAAAAGACGTCATGAATCTTTCATTAAGCACAATGGGTTTTATTTGTGCATGTTTGTGGCGGCAGTTTGCAGAGGGAACGTGTAATTGGTATGTCAGCAAGAAGTGACAGTTTGGTGTCATTCCTGTTGTCTGCAGATCATCGTGTTCATGTGCTACGGCATCATGCTGAACAAGTGGGTTCTGCAGACCTACCAGCCCGACTTCATGAAGAGTCCTCTGGTCTACCACCCCGGACACCGAGCTCAAGTGTGGCGCTTCTTCAGCTACATGTTCATGCACGTTGGGTACGAGCCTCGCCTTATCTCATGTCAACAGCTGTACTAGCAACAAATGAGAGGAGAGGCCGACATTTTTAAACACCAGCTAAAGACACATCTTTTTAGATTAGCTTTTTATTAGCAACCCCCCACTTTAAATGTTCTTTTAGTCTTTATTATTTACCTACTTTTATATTGCTTTATTTATTTTATAGGTCTTTAAGGATTTAATCTAACATGTTTCAATAGCAATATTTATTTTTACGTTGTTTTTTTTAACATTTGAATCGTTTAACCTTTATTAGAATTTTGGCATTTGTATTACTATTATCTTTTTATTTTTATTTCTGTCACTTTGTTTTATGGGGTTTTATAGTGTTGCATCGATTCAGTTGTCTTGTGTCTTATCCGTCAGAGAGAAATCATTATTTATTTTATTTTTATTATCATACCTTTTACCTCCTTGTGTCTATTAACCTGATAAAATGTTATATTTTGCTGCATGTACCTTTTAAAGTTCATAACAAATAATCTGAGGGGAATTTCTTGTTGTTTATTTTTAGCTTGTGATGTGTCATTTTGTAAAGTGTTTGAATGATGTATGAAAAGTGCTATTTAAATAAAGCTTTATTATTAAATGTCTTTATTTATCCTATTTCTTTGTTTCCCCTCAGTTTGGAGCAGCTGGGGTTCAATGCTTTACTGCAGCTGATGATTGGCGTTCCTTTGGAGATGGTCCATGGTATATTACGGATAAGTCTTCTATACATGGCAGGAGTGCTGGCCGGTGAGTGTCTTTTAAAATACGTGTATTATATTAACTGGTGGTTCCTGATGTCTGGTTCACACTGCACAGATAACACCTGATTTTAAACTCTCAATTTTGGGAGATCCCCGCAAAAAATCAGAGGAGAATTGGCACTTGAGCTCTTTGAATGAACTGCTTTAGATGCATTGCAGAAGCATCCCAGACATCTAACTGTTTAAATATCTCTGGAGGTAAAGATTGGTCCACTGCAACAATAGGAATAAATGTTGTTCTTCCACCCAAAGGACACATCTTATAAATAGTAAAGATGTGTGGAAACTACAAGGTTCTGCGGATTCCTCGAGGAAATAGAAATACCTTGTACATGGACATGGTGTTACATAATTTCCCCTGTCACTTCTTTCATGTAGTTTGGAGAACAGAAATACTCGTCGGGGATTCCTCCTGGTGAAAGATCTTGTAGTGTGTGTGACCCGGTGTGTTTCCGGTCAGTGATGTAGTGTGAAAACCACGACAACTTCAAGACTCTCGATTACAAGGCAGCACGTTGTGTAGTGTGAGAAGTACATAGATCTGATGTGGAGTGTGAACTCGGCATAAAGTGTGTGCTGCTTTACTGTATGATGCCTTAAGACCAAAGCCTAGGGAACCAGACTTACACTTATTTAACCGTACATTTTTAACAATATTTCAACACAGAAACATGAACAGTAATACATAATGTAAACATATCAAAGAAAATAAATGGTGTAGCTAAGATTAGTGACACGACAGTTCCTTTTCTTAACAACACGAAAGAAGTATATTTACATTTTTTAAATACTTATTTTGGTTCCTAACAAAACAGCCATCACTGATTTTAAATATGTATCAGAAATGTGCGGTGTCACCTTTGGCTAAAATGTTTATATGTGTCGACTCGTGTGAGTGTACGTTTGGTAGAAGAAACACTGGTGTAAACTGTGCAGTGAAGTAGCACAGAGTTTATATTTATAGCTAATGTTTTGACAGTTTGGGATGATCTGCAGTGCTCTCACTTTCTAACGCAATATCATAAAGAAAAGACGGTTTATTGTCTGTTCTCCTGCAGTGTGCGAGTGTTTTCAGTCCGCTGTAGCTCTCTCCTGACCGTCCTTGTTTTTTGTGTTATTACTGTTTTTACAGTCCGCTGCTCAGAAAGATGCTACGTTTTTTGTTTTGTTGGTCATCATTTATCAACTTAAAGGTCTTATATTTGCTCTGGGAAAAAAACACATTTACTTTTAGCACCGAATGCTACTCCAGTGAGTTTGACATTGTTAGTGTCTTCGAACTGGGATCGTTCTGATAATAGACACGGCTCCGGCTAGTGGCCCAACACTAAAAAAAAAAAAATCCAAGTCACCAAACTTAAATGCAGCGACTCGAGGTGCCCAGAGGTCGGGCTGCAGCCAAGTCTTTGTTGACAGAAAACCTCATTCACTTTCATCCAATGCCGATTTTCATAAGTCAACACTTGCATAAACCTCTTCCCCCTTTCATCTTCCCTGGGAACAATTAGCGTCTTGGATCTCGTAAATGCCTTGCTAACATCATTTCGTTACTGTCGAACGCAAAACCCCTAATTCATATCGAGTTACATCCGTTCATATTCAGCAACCTGATTTTTCGGCTTGTATGCGACTAAAAATCCCAATTTTGTATTCCTGTTCTGTCTTTAAAGCTGCTCAAAGCTCTCCATTCTGTGTAGAAGTCACACTCACACTTTTAACACTCTGAATTATTGTAGCTTTGATTTATTTTAGCAATGATGACAGAGAGAAAGCAAACTTGAAAGGGGGCAGAAGTGGCGTGGAGTGAAGCAGGGTTTCTCTCTGGGGAATTAGCCTAAGCGCAGTTTGAGATGCTGGTTGGAGATTTGTGCTGCGAGGAGATGATGATATTAGTACCCCCAGAGCCCCGAGTTGAACTGAATTCATTCGAGTTTCTATGCTGGAGTCACACTATCAAAAAATAAATGTGTGTAGTACTGAAGTGTGAATCTGGGATTACATTTGAATCTTAGTGTATTTCCTTTCAACACGACATAATAAATCTGCTCCTCTCTAAACAGTGAGGAATGGCTGAGCCGCCTCACGGTCACAAGATGACGAACGACTACAAGCAGCGTAATAATTTCACCTTCCGATTCTGGGTGATGGAGTGGAAACGGGAGCTGTACTGGCACACGCTGTTGTCATCTTTTGGGGAAGTAGTCCACTGGAAAGCAGGTCGCAAAGTGCACCTGTGTGTTTTAGGTTTTGGAGGAGGGTGATGGAGTCAATGGCTGTTTGGTGGGGAGTAAAGAGACTGCAGTGTTGCACTCAGGTTTTCAAAAGAAACTCAGTCAGTCGTAAGGAACACTGCTGGTGAGGATGGTATTGAGGCAATTTGCAGTGCTGAAAACTGGCCTTTTACTGTTAATTCATTCGTTTTTTTAAAGGAGTTTAAGGACCTGATTTTAAGACTTCACCGAGTTATTTGACTGAATCAGGCTAAGGTGTAAACATTTAAAATTACATGTTTATTTGCATTTACTGCTGTAGACTTAACAGGAAAGGGCATATTTGACCGTCACATTAGGAAAAGCTGTCACTTCTTCGTCTATTATTTGCAAGTCTTCATTTTAAAGCTCTAAAAAAAATCATGAATTGACATTGTATCTAATTTTATACTTTATAACCAAGCTACTATCCCCATACTACGAAGATATATAAATGTGTGTGTGCAGACTTTGGTTTAGTGTTTCGCTGCCTCACACGTTTCCCCTTAAGGCCCTGTCACACTGTCCCGAAATTGACACCCGATGGACACACGAATATGGAATTGTGAATTTCGCACGAAGATGGCCCCGAACCACACACGAAGGCAACATTTACATCACATTTAAGACATACAACTGCAATGAAAGTACCAAAAACAATTATGTTACAGTACTATGATACTGTACTGATATCTTCAGACTTTGTTCTTTACTTTATCCGTCGTTATATGTAGAAAATATTACGTTTTCTCCGTAATGTTGTTTCCATAACAACAACAACTTCCTGTCAACTGTCCTTCAAAATAATATGATATCCTTTTTAGTTTCACAGAACACAAATTGGGCTATTTACATAATATATTTACATGATTTTGTTGTGCAATAAAACAACCCGATGGACACACGATAAAGGAAATGTTCAAATTCGGCTGTGATCGTAGCAACATCGGGCCATTCGTGAGGGCATCTTAAGCCTTTGTATGACCGCCGGTGGAGTTTCTCAGACTCCGGCAGCAACTTCGTGAGCGGTGGCAAAATCTTTGGCATGCCAAAAAATTGCCGAAGGACCTTGCGAAGGTTCATTTTCGTGTTGAATTCGTGTGTCAATTGTGCCCTTCGTGAGGGCATCTTGTTATCATCGGTGCCATCGGGCATTCGCCCCGATCAGAGTGAGGGTGAATGCACCGATGATAACACGAAGATGACACGATTTGACAAGATGCCCTCACGATGCCTTACGAAGTTGCCGCTCACGAAGTTGCTGCCGGAGCCTGAGAAACTCCACCGGCGGTCATACGATGGCTTAAGATGCCCTCACGAATGGCCCGATGTTGCTACGATCACAGCCGAATTTGAACATTTCCTTTATCGTGTGTCCATCGGGTGTCAATTTCGGGACAGTGTGACAGGGCCTTTAGTCTTTGCAAACTCATGATTGCTTGTGGATGTTAGAAATAGCTCAGTGCTTTAGATTACTCAGTACCCCCCCCCCCCCCCCCCCCCCCCCCTCCTTTTTGTTCCCCGTGGCTGTCTCATGTTTATATTCATGCAGTCTTATTCTCGCTCATGACTTCAATCATGTGGGCTGTTGCTATCAGCTCTGGCGCGCATGTTGCTTGTTATTTTTTTAGGGCAGCGGTGCTTTCAGGTTATAGCTGCACTCGGTGGGTGCGTTTATGGGGCGACGCGCTGCAGGTATTGTTCCTTTATGTGCGTGCTCCACAATATTTCCTCACTGCAGGGCCTGCTCTCTTTTGGAAGATGTTTAAAACTCGGAAAGTATAACATCGTTCTAACAGATTTTTATATATCAAATGTGTGAACTTGCATCTCTGCAGTCCTCATCCTGATTATAATGGATACTGAAACGTCATATAAAGGATGAATTAGTCCCACAAAATACAAGGTTTTAATCTGTGTGGGTCGGATGGTGTTATAGAAGCATTTGTAAGCTGAAATAAAGTTTTCCTTTCTGTCCTTGGATGTGTGCTGACAAAAGGAACACTTCTGTAATTATTTTCCCGACGCCGCCGTTTAGAAATCACCTCGTTGTTATTTTCTCACTTTGCTCCGCCGCACTCACAGCAGATGAAAAGCTCCACATAAAGGGGAAGGAAAAGGCACATTTGTCAAAACAGAGGAATGTAAAGTGTTGAGTTATGTTCAACATTTCAGTCCAGATCGAGTTTAAAGAAAAAAGCGGCATCTATTGTCTTTTCTTTCTCCTCTCTCTTCTGGGTCGTCTCCCTCGGGGCCAGCAGCTCTTTCAGCTTCTTCAGGTGCTTCAGGACATCAACAGGTGCCACCGCATCATGTTTTCTCCTCGTAGCCCCGTGTGAGCCCCAGGCTGTCTACCTCCTCTAACACTAGCTTACATCTGAACATCCACATCCTCCAGCAGCCTCTCACAACAGCAGGCTTGAGTCTGCTGTCTCTTCTCGTCCCTCTCAGCTAAGATATCAGTGTGTTGTGAGTTTTAGTGTTGATATACATTACATTGCATTTAGCTGACGCTTTTATCCAAAGCGACTTACAATAAGTGCGTTCGACCAACAAAATACAAACTTGAAGAAAACAGAATCATATAAGTACATCTGGTTTCATAGAGCAAAAACATTTCAAGTGCTACTCAACTGGCTTTAGGTAAGCCAGTCCTTTATTAGTATACAAGTGCTTTGTTAATAGTTATATCGCTCGAAGTGGAGTCGAAAGAGATGAGTTTTCAGTCTGCGCCGGA